TGCTATCAGGCTCTGCAGACTTTCCTGATTTCCTATCTAGAGAACACTGAAATTGTGGTCAGACTCACCTACCCACATGTTCAAGGCCTCCAGGCACATGAGGTGTTTGTTATGGCTTGAATGTGCCCCTCAGAGTCCCTGTGCTGGAAATGTGATCTTTAAAGCAGCAGGGCTGAGGGGTGAGACCTTAAGGGGTGATTAGATCTGGAGGACTCTGCCCTCCTGAGCGGATTAATGCTCTTCCAGTGGGAATGACTAGTTATCTCTGAGAGAGTTCCTCATGACAGGATGAGCTTGGCTTCTGCTCTCAGATTCTTTCGACCTTCTGCCTCCCCCCATGGGATGAAGCAGCGTGAGGCCCTCGCCATTGTAGGTCCATTGAACTTGGACTTCCCAACCTCCTGAACTGAGAACAAATACATTTTTTCCTTATAAATTACTCAGTCTGTGGGATTCTGTCATAGCATCACAAGACAGACTGAATGATGTTCAACAGAGTTTGTTAAATCAGTGGGTTGATGAACGAAGATGTCTTGTGTGTAAATGTGGCAAGAAAGAATCCCTGTTCACATCTTGTATCCTGTTTTTACTATGAATATATCCAACAGTTGGTTTTTTAAACTCAAGTGCAAGAACCAAAAAGCTTTAAGATTAGATGCTGTGCTTTTAATTGATATAAAATTAGAAGAAAGAGAGCCTGGCCACTTACTTGTACCTGAATCTTAGGGCAAGTTACTCCACCCATTTGTATCTATGTTAACTTCTCTGTAAAATGGAGACAACAATAATAGCAATGGTCTCACCAGGCTCTGTGGTGAGGAGTAAATGATGCTAACATAATCAGGGAGCTCAGCACACCCCCAGCCAGCACATTTTAAGTTCTCAGGAAATGTGAGCTTTTATCATCGATAAGAGCAGAAGTTAAGGACACTGTTGATTTTTACTAGCACTTGCCTTATTTTCCTAGGACTTCTTTAACAAAGCACCACAAAAGGAATGACCTAAAAGAACAGAAATGTGTTCTGTCATAGTCATGGAGGTTAGAGGTGTGAAATCAAGGTGTTGTCAGGGTTGTGCAGAAGGATCCTCCCTTGCTTCTTGGTGTCCTGGGTGGTCCTAGGCAGACCTTGATTTTTCTCAACATCACTCCAATCTCGGTTTCCTTCTACACGTGGCCTCCTTTTCTGCGTGTCTATATGTCTCTCTATGTCCTTTTTTCTTCTGATAAGGGCATTCTGATTGGATTTAGGGCCTACTTTAATCCAGTATGAGCTCACCTTAATTTAATTACATATCCAAACACGATTACCTGCTCAGGTTCCAGGTGAATAAGTTTGGGGTGACACTGTGCAATCCACTCTAACATTCAATCACAGAAACCAAACAGAGAAATTGCTTTAACCATTGTAGGTCAGTTATTTTCCCTCTTTCTTTAACAACACAGAGAAGACACACAGACAGTGTGCTTTAGTGTATGCCACTAATTTCTACTTGCTATCAAAAACGACTGTGATAGTCATAAAATTCTTGAGTATTTGGGGTCTGACTATCCAGGAAGGGATACGCTTAATCAGAGAAAACTGCCCTTGGCCCGGTCAAGTAACAATCCATTTGGTCCCCGATGGAGATATCCAAGAATGCTGTGGATGACAGGCCTGGAGCCAAACCTTTTTTCTAGTCAGGGCTGGTCCCTGTTTCTGGGAGTATCCAGAGACTCAGGTTGCCATGGAATTCCACCACAGAATGGACCGGTCTCACTGTGCTAAATGGCTGCAGGTTGGTGTACATCTGAGAAGACGGGGACTGCGCAGCTTCCTTAGGGGGATGAGGTGATGGGGTACCTGGTCTAGTTTTAGGGTCTCTAGGATGCCCTTGCACTGTCTCCAAAAACACAGGAAGTTTCCCAGTCAACACTTCTGTTTAAGATGCAAAGAGCCCTGGGAGAGCTAACACTTTAATTGGTGATCAAATCTTTATGGATCCATTTGAAAAGGACTCTGGGAGTAGTTTTTGGTAGGATATTAGACAGGAGGGCTTTTTCTTTTCGTCTTGGGGAAGACAGACTATATGTGTTTTACGAACGAAGCACAAGAGAGTCATCCTGAGGGACCTGCTTGAATCCGGCCCTGTCTCATCACTGAAGTCAGTGAAGGTCAGTGAAGCACCGGCACAAACTAAAATGATTTACAAATTCAACCATATACTCAAGCAAAAGAACAGGAGATAAGGAAAATGGTGTGGAATGTAGAGGAGTAGAATACAGGAGGATGGATGGAGAGACAGAGGAAGGAGAAGGATGAGAAGGCGAGGGGGAGAAGAAAGAGGAAGAGGAGAAAGAAAAAGGGTGGAGGGAGGAAGAGGAACAGAGAATTTAAATAATGTGGGCTGCTATTTGCCCACCATTCACCTGGATGGGCTAATATCACACAGGGAGAGACGTGGCTGATCTGTCTCCTTCAGCCACATGGGATCCCAAGCCAGTCCTACTGTGAACCTCTCATGGGGCCTAATGAGATACAAGTGTCTCCAGGTTTTCCTTTTCATACAACCTGGATCCAGCAAGGGCCATCTAGAGAGCGATCACTTTGGATGCTTGTGAAAACATGGGCTCTATTTAAATGCATTGAGATAGCTTTTCAAGGGTAACTAAATTATATACAATTTTCACCTGATGTGCTACTTCAAGCCACACCTTCGGACAGCCTGGTTCTATCTGTAAGCGTAGATCTGTATTATAAGAGGAAGCCAAAGAAGGGTGTCACTGAGCTCATTCTTTGGTGGATGGGTGTGGTCTCTCATTCTAGAAGCTGAGCTGTTTGCCTGCAGTACCCAGGTGAGGGTCACAGGAGCTACTCTCAGGCATGAGGAACCTGGGTGGGGAGGCCCCAAGCTGAGGAAGCCCCAGACTGAGGCTCCTGAAGGGCAGCAGCTGGTGCCCGAGGAGCTAGTGCATTGCAGGTGAGACTCCTGGGGTGCTGCGTGATTCATTCTACTCCACACTGCTGTCATTTTCCCAAGGTAAGGAGATACTTGTCTCAACTCGGAAAGATGCTCACAAATACCTTCCAAATGTATTTTACAGCTTTTAATTTTAATTTTTTTTTGGTTAAAGATACTAATGAAATCCACTGTAAATTCACCCTACTACTGAACAGGTATTTAGAGACTAGATGTCTTTTGTGTAAACCCCTTGAAATAATGTCACAGGAAACACACAGGCTTCATTTATCTCTGATTGGCTAAACTGAAAGGCACATTCCCCTGCCTCTGTGCTCATGAACATTGCCTATTAACCCCCAGAGGTGTTGTGTGAGCTACTGTGTTTAACCTAACTCTCCAAAAATAAGGGGATCGTGATTTCCTTTAAATTGTTACTTACATAGGGGAATGTCACAGGCGTTAGTGCTTACTTGATTGCATTCAGACGTTACTTTGGCAAGAGAATGACTGCATTAAATTAGCATCAAGCACAATGAATGGTAATTGCAAGACTGTCATTTCTACAAGCGCAAAATTAATGCGTTCTGCAAACCCATTCCATTGTGTGCCACAGGAAAAGCACAGACCCACGCTGTTCTGAGCAGAAAAATGCACTGTAATAGCACTGTTAATGTGCGATGGTATTATTCAGCGATGGTGTTCCTTCCCACCTTTGTTGTTGTCTCCTGCTCATTCTTCAACCCTGTCTGATCTAATTTGTATGCTCATATTCCAGCCCTGCCAGACAGTAGCCTGGATGTACAGTGAATGCTGTGGAACGATTCTTTCTTCCGTGTGTGGCATCTTGTGTGAAGAATGCCAGCGTAAACAACCCTCCATGTATTCATGAGAGTATGAATAGGCTACTTATGTAAAGCTTCTTATTAAGAGATACACCAACTGTTTACTGAAAACTTTACCCACATGCTATACATTCATTTAGAGAGAGAAGAGTGATTTACATGCATTTCTATTGCAGCTTAGGAAAAGAGCCAGCTGCTCCTCTCTTCACCACGGTTGTTTACATATGGGAAATGAAGCCACAGACCAGTTGAGTGAATTTGGTCCTGTCGTGGGGGATTGCCAGGGTGTATCCCAAATGCAAATATGTGTGTGCACTGGGCTCTGATATTCTGCTCATTGGATTTGTGGAATTTACTGAGGATTCAAGGGCTCATTCAAGACTGGAAAACCCAGCAATAACAGATGCTCTAAGCTGACTGGCTGGATGCATGGTTTGAGCATGCCTGAAGTTTCAGATGCCTGAGGAATCTCTCCTAAAGGCATCCTGAGTTAGAGTAGCGACAATGATGATATCGGCAATGGCTGACCAGAAGGGCTTTCTTGCAAGTACAGCTGGGGTCCCACAACTGGTGGGAGGTAGGAGAACATGGAGACCCTTGGGATGCACAGGCTGACTCACTTCAGCAAGTGATCAATCAATCAATCAATCAATCAATCAATCAGTCAGTCAGTGCACTGGAGATCCTAGCATGGCAGAGTCAGGCCTGAGCCTCCTTTCACAGGCCGCTAACTTTGTCACTCTCAGGATGTGATGAGGCTTCTGTTTTTTGGTACTGCAAATCAAACTGAGGATCTTGCGCTTGCCAGGCAGGCACTTGCACAGCGGCGCCATCTCCCGGCCCTTGATGAGGGATCTTGCTTTCTACTATTTCAGCAAGTGCTGGATCTGGGGGACATTCTGTACCACCCTCAGAGCTGCTCTCCTCTTAGTAAACAACAGAGACCCGTGAATGATTTGGGAAACTTCCTACCTAAAGTGGGAGTGGAGGGGCTGGGGATTTAGCTCAGCGGCATAGCGCCTGCCTGGCAAGCGCAAGGTCGTGAGTTTGGTTCCTGGTACCGGAAAAACAAACAAACAAACAAAAAAAAGTGGGAGAGGATTCTCATTACCTTATCTTCAGAGTAGAATATGCTTATTTTAGGCCGAAAAATCTTTAAGTAGATGATCTGGGTTTAAGGAATGCCTATAAATGAGTCTGAAATAGTTTTGGCCTTACCTTTGTTGCAAAACGTCCCGTCATATGCTGTGTTAGAGCAGTCGCAGGAGTAACCGTGGTATTTTTCTATGCATTTGCCTCCGTTTTCACAGTTGGTTCCGTAGCTGGTGCAGTGGCCTGAGCATCCGGATTTGAAGCCGGATGTGACCTTTGCCCTTTCCTCTAGGTCAAGGGTCACCCCATTCATTCTCAAGGAGCGGATGCAGCCTAGGAAGCCCTGCTGGCCTCCAGCGCCACCTGAGAATAACAGAAAGCAAGGCAGTCAGATAGAATAACCTTTGGCCACTTCTGTTTTCTTTCCTCATGTTTTGAACAGTTGCTGTAGGAGAAGAGACTGCTAAGTGCATTGGTATTATCACTTTCAAGTTGATCCTGTCCAAACAGAAGTAATTGAAGCCTTTTCCCTTAGGCTGTAAAGCCTAATTAAAAGACGCTGTCTTCTGAGAAGCAGTAAACCTGCTATAGAAATAAAATGTTTGGAGATACACAAAAATGGTATACTGTAACCTGGTTTCCTATATAAAAGAAGTTTAAGGAAATCTTTAGCGTCTTTGTTCTTTAATCTCGTAGCATTCAATTCTATAGCATTATCTATTGAAAGGAATATAAAAGGGCAGAAAGACATGAATATATTAGCATAATTAAAAAGTCAATTAGTCAGCAGGCATAAATCCATTGGAAATGTGATTGTGTGTTTTAGTTCTTGTCTCACTTGAAATGCTTTGCTTTAAAGTTCACATTAAGAGTACCCAGGACTTCTTGTTCAGGGTGGCCGGAAGTCAAAATTGATCATTTTGCACGAAGTCAGCTATATCATATTTACTACTAGGTCACGTTGGATCTCATTGCTTTTGTTTAAATGTCATTACAAGACAGAGAGCACAAACATCATGTTCACGGTGATTTCTGGAATAAATTATAGTGTCAGACTGAGGGCCCCATTAAAAGCACCCTCTCAGAGGTCATGGAAGCTTTCACTGGAGCAGGATGTCGCAAGTGGATTTAATTGCGTCTCTAATATCCTTGCTGTGGTTTTTAAAAACCCGCTGGCATAAAAAGAGGAGCTCAGATTTCTCTACGTGTTTATGCCTTAGATTAACAACTTTTCTGGAAACATATTCAAAATGAAGAGTAAGAAAAATTAGTGGCAGAAAAATCTGATGAGGATCTAGAAAAAAGGTATTGTTAATAAAAATTAAACCCGTTGCTCTTTGATTAACGGCTGTGTACTAGGTCAAATATGGGGCACCTTATGTGTGTTAGTTTCGTGATCTTCACAGCAGCCCGTCACGTAGGTATTGATAGCATTATCACCACTGCACAGATAAGGAAATGGAGGCTTATAGCAGATAGGACATTTACTCAGGGACTCATGGTTCCCAATCAGCTAAGTAATATCAGATCTTATTCCTGAGTCTATAGTTTTCATTGACTAGTGATGGCCACATAATACAGAGAAGAATTTTGGGCTAGGGGCCCAATAGGTATGTATGTTTCAGAGGTATAGATTTATATGCATGTAAAAGTGGGGAGGTCAGTTGGGTCAGAATTCAGGTAAGATTTTTAGGCTGGGGATTGGTTGGGTTGGGTCACTTCATCAGAAGTGTATGACCATAGCCGGGCGTCATGGTGCACACCTATAACCCAAGCACTCAGGAGGCTGAGGCAGGAGGGTCGTTGCAAGTTTGAGACCAGCCTGGTCTACAAAATGAGCTCAAGGCCAGCCTGAACTGCATAGCAAGACCCTGTCCGCAACCCCCCCCAAAAATGTGTACAACCTAGAAGTCTCATTGGATAGGACTAGTGGATCAAAGGCTTTAGTGGTAGGAATGGCTTAGCATCTCTTATACCTGCAAATTCTCATCAATGAAATGACAAATGAATCCTTCCACTGTCTTCTTAAACGCAATTCTTTCAATGAGTGGAGCATTGATTTGAATAATTCTCCAGGGAGCATTTTATTTTTATAAAATATTTGAGTAGAGGATTAATTGAAAGGAGTCCAATCCCCTTCTGGAGCAGAGTTCTGAGATAGAAGACGGCGAAAGAAGCTATTGAAAACAACCGCTTTGAAGAGTTTCCCATTCTGCCATCTGCTTGTCGCCTAGCTTCACACCTCTGTGCTGAAGAGAATTGGAACCTTTGCCTGATTTGGAAGAATTTCAATCCATTAGTCACTCTTTGTGTGTTAGAATTTCATTTTAGCCAGTATGGTTTTTGTTCTTGCAATAAGGGTTTTCCAGAGGCTTTTCATTACATAAATGCATAGCTATTTGAATTTTCATCACTAGTCAATTAAG